TCTGACTGTTGCGTTCTACGTTCAACAAATACAATAATATTTCGTTGTAATTATTTATAAAAATAAACAAAATCAACAAAAATTAAAGGGTAAATTAAAAAAAAATACCTACAAAAAGAAAATCACCAAAAAATATAACAAAGAAAAATGTAGGGATTTGAACCCAATCCCTATAGAATGATGGTCCTTTACACAGTGTTACAAACTGTTCAAAAATAATACTCCTAAAACAATTCGAAAACCGACAAAAATTTATTAAATTCAAACAAAAATTTCTAAATTTAAAATCAGAATTTTTCTTATATTATAGGAAAAGGCAAAATAATTATCTGATAAAATAAACCATGGTCAAAAACATCAAATATAACATAATTCATTTGAAATGAATATGTTAAGAATAAAATCAAAACAATATTAAAAAAAATTATTAGAATACATAAAATATTCATACCAGACACATAGGCCTTGGCCTGACGTCATCCAAAGCAGCACGGCGCAGATTTTTTTTAAATAAGTTGTTTTGTGTAGTTTTTTTCGAAAATGTGAATAAAATTTAACTCCTAAAAAATATTCCCATAAAAATTTACCTCCCAATAAACTTCCATTCCACATTTTTTATTCCTAAATATCAAAATTCCTAAGTTGGCATCCCTGCCTTTACACTGTATAGGACTGATAAACTTATCAATGACAAGATAAGATATTGAAATTACGCTTTAGTTGTTAATTCATACAATTAATTAAAATACGAAATATGAATATATATTTTTAGTTTCGTGTTTTCGAATGATCTAATAAAATTATAACCCTCAATAATAAATAAATACGGAACATATTTCGTAACGGTGAGCGGAAGACGAGCGGCATAAATCCATCTAGCAAGGCGCCTCAGCGCTTTCTGTTCAACGTGTGGAGTTGGAAGAGAGCCGAAACAACGCCGCAGTGGCGCGGTGTTTTGGCTGTCGCGTTGGAATTAATTTTAATGAATTAAATTAATATTTTGAAATATCTTACATCAATCAACAAATTAAAACAACAATCCTTTTTATTAATATATTCTACACCACTGATATTAATTTCATTAAGATTTGTTCATGTATTACGTTCATTTTTGGTTTTGAATTTCTCTTTTAGAGGTAGTTTCATGATTTTTATCTATCGATAAAATATATCGAGAATATGTTTTGGAAACAATGTTCCCTTAGAATGTACGTTCAAGATTAACATATATTTTTTTTGCTGCTATAAAATGTGTAGATTTTGCTAAAAAATCTTTTGAAAAACCTATTTTTACTGCATACAGCGACTTAAAGTATGAAAAATAATGGTCAACTAATTACAAACAATAACAAAAAAGTATAAAAAAGCAATATTTTTTTAAGTTTTAAGAAAGATACGTTTATTTGTTAGAACATAGTACAATATAGGTCTTCAAAGCTGTGGATCCTTTATGCTCTACCATTTCTGATGTACAAATATTTCATTTTACATTATAAACATGCAAAAAAACAAAAGTATAATCTAGGAAAAGTAACAAAAATATAATCTAGGAAAACTGTTCTTATAAAATTTTATCATTTAAATAATGTCCTGTGGAATAATAACATTTACTTATAAAAAGTTAAGCAGATATCGCTTAAACAATTTTAAATTCAAAGTTTTTAATCTATTTGGTAATTTATTGTTTATCCTAATGGCCATAGAATAACAGTTTTTGCTGAACATTGTGGTACGATGGGGAGGCATGTGTAGTTTGTTCGAGAATGTTTAAAGAGGGCCGGATGTTTATGAGCAAATATGCAAATTTCGAAAATGTATATACAAGGTACCGGCTTGTAATTAGTATTGTTGTAGTAGTATTGTTACGATATAGCTACTATCCACAGCTTACCAATAGTTGTAATTAATATTTAGTGGCGTATCCCTTATTTTCAATAACAGCACTGCAACGACGTGGTTTTGATTAAATCAATTTCATACATTTTTCTAGGGGGATTGAATTCCACGCTTCAACAAATGCGGGGTGGTGTTACATTTGTTTGAGACTTTATTTTTAACAATATACCAGAGATTTTCTATCCGGTTTAAATCCGGACTATTTGCTGGCCAGTCTAAAATGGATAAATGCTATTCGCCAAGTAAAAATTTGACGCTATTGGCCGTGTGTTTAGGGTCATTGTCATGCTGAAAGATCCAGGTTACAGCCAAATAATCGTCTGAGTAGCGAATCATTGATAAGATATTTTTTTTTTTTGATTAAGATATTTTTGTATTGCCATTGATCCATTGTACCTTCAATCTTCCGAACGGGTCCAACTCCACATTCGGAAAAACACCCTCGAACTTTAATATTACCGCCACCGTGCTTGACTATATTCCTTGTGTATTTATAATTAAAAGCATTGTTTAGAGGACGTCTAACATAGCGCTTTCCATCGGAATTTACCATATTTATTTTTGTTTCATCTAAAAATAAAACTTTTTTCTATTCCTGTACCGTCCTAATAACATATTTTTAGCGAATAATAATCGCTAATAATCGGTGTTGCTTGGTAAGAAGCGGTACCTTTCGAGAGATTCTTCCAAACAATTTAGCTTACATTAATCTTTGGCGTATCAGTCTTGACGAGATGTTTCTCGGGTCATCAGGTGAAAATATCTTCATTTTTAATCTGGTTGGAGCCTTTACTTGGATCTATTTTTTTTTTATTTTATTTAAGACACCAACAGTATACATATTTACACAACTTACAAAAAAGGAAAAATTAAAAAAACTTGGACCTAATATGTACACCTATAACAGGTGTGTACAACATTTACAATATTGTGACAAAGTTTAGTAAACAAAAAAAAACTAATTCATAAAAAATTAAATACAAAGAATAGACTAACAATAAAGAATCAAAAATAAATTAAAAAATAAATTCACATTGAAGAATACTATACTATAATATATACTAATGAAATGACTCCAGTACTTTCTTTTTGTAAACATAAGGGGAATCGTTAAAAATGTCGATATATTCGGCACGGTTAAAAAGTATATTTAGCACAGGGCAGCACCTATAAAACTAGTTATAAGTAATACTCCCATAACATTAGATAACGAAATTGCGAGTCGAATTATTGGAGTAGAATTATGAAGGAAGGCCAAAGTAACTCCAAGTCAAAAATCTGGACATGGGTGTAATCACTATCAGTTACGGCGACGGCACTATCATCACTATCAGCCTATTTGTATTCTTTCCTCGTTTGCAACGATCTTCAGTTGTTTTGTGTAAGAACACCTTTAAAACCACAATCTCAACTGCCCTGCCCGCCATGGCTTTATACCGGGGAGGTAGACTTACTCGATTTTACTTGTCTATACGATATTAATTTGAGATGTATGTAATAGTAAAATCTAGTAAAATCTAAGTGGACCATTCAATGCTTCTGTAAAAGGCGACCAACTATAAACAGTTTTCCTCCTATATCGGATTTAAAAGGACCTTTCTCTAGCTCCGTATAAATGATCTGTTTGGCTCTCTGAATAGCAATTGTCCTGCTTATGCTGATGGTATCAAAGTCTACCAACTCGTTAACAGCCTGCAAGACTGCGAGATGCTCCAGAGGAACATAAATGTCAATGCTAATTGGTGTGACCGTAATCACATAGCTCTTAATGCTAAAAAAAGGCAAGTTATAAAGGTCAAGAAAAATAGAGACCCATTTTTGTATAGTTATAAAGTCAGTGATTACGCGAATGAGTGATTACGTCGTGTTGAAAGCGTTCGTAATCTTGGCGAATTTTTCGACTCGGATCTTTTCTTTACGCCACACTGACTATATCTGTAATAAATCTAACAGTATGATATCCTTTATAATACTATACGTCTCGTTGGTCAGGAGTATCTTGGAGTATTGCTTATCAGTTTGATCACCTATATATCAGGTACGTACTTACAGAATTGAGTCTGTTCAGATTTATACTTTCGCTGTGCGCAAGATTGGACAGATTGAACAAAATTAGATTTATATTATTTAGAAGTTATGTTTTGTGGTGCCTACCCCGCCTATGCGTGTTCCATAGTTATTTGGCATGCTATTATCTCCGGCGTCATATTGCTACTTGTACAGGCACAGCAAGGGGTATGTAGGTGCTACTCACGCTCGTATTGTATATTCCTTTAACTTTAATTTTGACTTGATAAGTTATGTTTTCCTTTTACTAAATTTTAATTCTTTTATAAAATTTTTATTTTTGGCAATAATAGTTTACTTAACTCTACGATAAGTGAATGTTGTGTTTAGTTTTAACTAAGTGGGTTACGGATTTGTATGTTTTAGTTTTAAGCTGTTATTTAACTTTTTTGTTTAAAATAAAATAAAATGACCCTTCTATTGAGGTTATAAAGTAAAGCTTCAGTATGACAGTGTACATACACTTTACGTTCAGCGCTACCTCGGGTTCGTCTTAGTATCTTTTATTTGTAGAACTAATACTTATTTATCTGTGCTCCAGGAATGTATTATGTAATATAAACAACTCATTATTAGTTAAATTTAAAGTAGACGCGGCGGTTGTTTTAATCCGCCACAAAGTATTAGGTTAATATAAACTCTTGAAGTTTAAGTTTTATGAATGATAACCACTTAGCTAACGGAAAAATGTCACAACAATACAAACTAAAACAAAGACAAAACTAAAACATTGCGTGCCGCTGTCTGTATTATTAGTACAAACAAGTGCGATGCCGTACCAACCCCCTCCCTTTAATGACACCTTCAATTTGTCCGCTTAATTTACATATTACAGTAATAGTTTCTTGTGTTCAATGCTGCCTCATAGTCCGACAGTTAACTACAAACCGCTTACAAGTTTCGTCACTGTCAGGTGACATTTAAGGAACTAATGAAAAAGAACATAAGAGAAAATAATATTTACTGTTTTAATGCACTAGGTTTGCTAGAATTATGAATGATTGTTGTTTTGCAATTTAAGACAACATATTATTATAATGTTTGTGCATGGAATTAAGCCTGGTTCCAGTGAAGAAGAAGAGGAGGAAGATGTTAGGGACATTTTGCAGGTTTGATTATCAGGCAATGTCTGGAGAAATCTACATATAACATGAATAGGATAAATTGGATTGAAAATTTTGAAATAAACGTTTAGTATGATAATGATGATGTAAAGAAAGAAACCGTCGAACCGAAAAAAACTAGATAAACGAAAAATTTTTGGGGTTTTTATCATTGTTTTTATCATTGTTTAGAAACGGCGAGAAGAATGCGAGCGCAAAGCGAGAAGAGGGGAGATGGATCCCCGTCTGGAGTTTACTTTCCAACTCCTGATCGATGGCACTGGACTTCCTCGTCATGCAATAATGGATCACGTTTTCGAGGGAAATATGGTGCGCAATAATGTTACTATTCAACTGTCACTAGTGTCTAAATGTAAAAGGATTTCTAGCCGAAATAGAATTTCAGCCCTGAGTTTTGTACACATACAGACAGACAATTCCTTTTTAGAGAAAATAACAACAAACATTGAGCCGAGTTCTTTTAATGCTGTATATTAGGACTTACTAGAGGTTTTTGATAAATAAATAGAAGTTACTTTTTAGCTCCCAGTACCCTATTCTATGGGGTCGGGATTATAAGGCTGGTTTATCGTATGCCTAAATCCAAGAACTAAGTCATGGCTAGTTAGGCTACTTTTAATAGTGCTGACATATTAAAAAAATCCTCCTAAAAATAAATAATCCCAAAATAATCCTTCTGTACGATATCATGTGTACTCGTGTTCATAATAATTTATTAGTATTTTTATGTGACTAACCTATTTTTATATATTACACACAATGTGTGTCTTAAATAATACAACATTTTTAATCAATCTAAAAAAGGATTTGGTTATGACATTCATCTTACAGTAGGTGTTTCTTTCCAAATGTCCGTATTGCTTTTATATTCCAGCTCGACGATATTAATCAACTGTTTCTTCCACACATGAGAAATAAGTTACTATGGTATTATCAAGATGTCGAGGAAATAGAGCAGCGCCCTCAAGCAGAGGGTACGAAGCCACGTCAGCAGGGTCAAGGAAAACAACCGCCACCTCAAGTTACTTTAAAGAAAAAATTATTTTTATCAGATGGGTGGGATGTAAAATTTACCGGAATTTGCATATACATGTTCAGAATTAACGTCAGTAAACAGTTACCGGAGGAAGGATTTCATAAGGATTTGTAAGCATTGTTCACGATACTGTTCACATCCTCCATTTTATAATATTTTTCTATTATTTGCTTTCTCTTTTTAAATACCCTGTTAACTATTTCGAGTAACAATACTATAAAGCCACGTGAGAACCTTTGACATAAAAGTCCTTTGAGATTTATGTAATATTTTTTAATTTTGGATAGATTTTGTGGAATTTTGAACGCTGACAAAGTGGGCCTAGTAACAGCGATAGAAAGGATCATGGAGCATGTATACATGAGTGCCCTGGCTCATCCCAGCACTGATGGTGATGAAGATGAAACTAGATTTCCCATAGTGAAGAACCAACTACTGCCAGGACTCAGGTCGTTTTGTAGTGCACTGAAAGGTAATTTGTAAAGATAAATTTAAAAGGTTTAGTCAAAAGCCCGGAAGATTCATCTAAAGTTGGCGTTCCCTTATTGCTTATGTAGTGTTCTATAATGTCTAAAAACGCGAAATATGAAGTGCGAACTACTTGATTTAGCAGATGCTTTTGTATTTAATATCTTTTCTTTCGATACCAGCACCTATGCACAAATATGCTCCGAATAGTATAGTCTCAAAAAAGATAGATAGGCTTAGATATACTCTTATATATTACTGGGTACACAATACTGTCTATATTATTCAGAAAACTTTGAAATAATAGGACAAAAAGAATATTTGTATTTCCATTTTATAAAGCCGTATATTTATAAAGCTAATAATTCTAGTTTAATTGTTATTTTTAGTATGCGAAGATGTATGCAATCAGGTAAATTTATTTGATGACGGTAAATCAATGATGGCTAATCTTCAAGATCATACTGAACTTAAAGAAATGACCAAGAATATTAACACAGTTACCATGCTAGAAGAACGAGTAAATGAATGGATCAAAAAAGTTATGGAGGTAAGACGCAGTTAAATGTATTACATACTTTTTAAATGACTATTTGTTACTGTTAGTAATTTTTCTAAATCAATTACATGCTAAAATCAGCTGTATACGTGGTTGGGTTAAAAGCTCGCGGACTGGAGCGTAAAGATAAAAAAAATCGAAATTGTTTTTCTTTCTCAATGTAGGTGCGTTTAGTACACCTCTCAAATAATGTATATTTATACCTTCAAAATAGGCCAAATTAGCGCTTTTCACCTCTTCATCGCTGGATAATCTTTTATCCTTTAAACGAGCAATTCTTATATATATATATATATATATATATATATATATATTTCTTATATATATATATATATATAATCGGAATCTCAGAAACGGCTCCAGCGATTTTCATGAAATTTAGTATGTGCGTAGATTCGGGGGCGAAAAATCGATCTAGCTAGGTTTCATTTTTAGAAAATGTCCTTTTATACCTGTTTTCAGGGAATGAAAAATATCATTCGAAGTTATAATAGCTCGGTCGGTAATCGGGCGGCCCCAAAACAGACGGCCGCGGTTCGTATCACGATCATTTACACACTTTTTCTTTTTGCTTTTTTTTCTATACCAGATTGCTTTTTTTTTTTATTTTTTATTTTTATTTCCAAAATACATCCAGGTACTTAAATTTATAACTCTCGAAGCTCTTTTTCACTTTCGGTAACAAAAAATGCCCACTCCTATAACTTGTGCCTTGGGCATGGGTGTGTTGGTCGGTTTTCTCTACCTTTTATTCTCGCAGCATATCGTACACATTCCAGTAATCCAGTGGTACTCATCAGTTATAGTAACCCGTTTGTTTTTTAAGTCAATGAGATAGACACCTTAATCTCAGAAAACAATAGCCGTGCCCCATAAGTATTTGTATCGAGTTGGATACCTAAACTTATTTCTGGGGTGAAGTGCCCTTTTTGTGCCAATGTAGGGTAACATGCTTCGATTCAGGCGCAGAATCATGGGCTACAGTTACATCTCCAGTCACAATTCGTACTGTATCTCAGGGAATAATGACCTGAATCTCAGTGATTGGAGTTTCAGGCTCGTGAGCTTGTGGCGTTGCGAGCCGTGGGGGCACATCCCAATTGCTCAGGCTGAATCTCCGTATAAACAGGGCAAAAATTTTAGTTCGACGTGTGTTAGGACGGAAGTCAAGTTAAGACACTAATTAGGCGAACTGTGAAATGTTATGGGACCTAAATACTTGGGATTAGGATAGAAAAGGTGAGGGTGGTTATTGACGTAGCACCCTTTTTTTTTTCACGATCACACGTAGAAAGAAAGTCTACTGCACGTGTAGCCGAGGATAGCTTCGGCTGCCAGAGAGGATAGCTTACATAAAGCCAACTACTATTCGCATGAGCACAGTTAATTATGCCTACACATATCGCTCTGGGAGCGATCGGAGGGAAACTTTATAAATCAATTGATATGAAACTTTGTACTCATACTCTTACTTAGTATCACAAGTACAAGTGCAAGTTTCCCTAAACCATACCACCACTCCGCGATCTTTTTAACCTACCTTCGTTAATATGTAATCGCAGTATATATTGCGTGAAAAAACAATTGGTATTTTAAAGTTAAAACTATCAGTTCTATAGATAGTGGGTTCAAATTTAAGTCCAGCGACTCTATAACTTTTATCATTATTTTCCCTCCTCCTTTAGTCGGTACCTCAGTGCTGAGGATTTTCATTATTGTCGAGCGCCAAGCTTTGGCGCGGACTTTTTCGGGGTTTGCGGGCCCCTCTACGAATTACATGGCCGAAATATTAAAATGTCCAACGCATAACACTTGTTCAAAGACGAGCTGTATTCTGCATTTTGAGCTCTTACAATATCCAGATGTATGGTTCGACATACTGTCCATCGGATTCCTCTTATTATACACCAACATCACATTTCGAAAGCGTCTATGCGTTTGATTACTTTAGTATGAAATAAATTCTTTGCGTACAGATACTTAGTGAGAGTGAACAATTGCGACGCGAGGTGGACTCCAGCGGACCCCAGGATGAGTTGGAGTATTGGAAGAAAAGAGGCGCGCAATTTTCTCAACTTGTGTCTTATTTACAGGTTTGTTATATCTAACAAAGCAAACCAAGTCTACATACATTTCATAGCTGACTCTCTATAAACCATCGCTGGGTGATGAAGATTAAAATCTAAAAAACGGTTTCTTACTTAGATTGATTTATTTTTCTAATAGTGTGTGTTTTCCGAACTGATTTATAAACGTAATTGCTCTTAAATTTCACTTATACCCATGTTTTAAGCTTAAGTAGTATAAGGAATAACGACCTCCATATCTGTAGGTGGACACATCCGATCTAACCTGTGACTGCTACGTACATCGTACAATCGACCTGTACCAAAAGATGTCGCTTAATTGAGTATACTAAATGTCTAATATAAAAATTATTTAAATTTACTGGGTAAACATTTTAATCATAATAATATGGACTTATAATTTAGTTCTTTATTTAATTTTTCATCAGCATAATGAAGTGCAACTTACTCTGACGTGCCTGCAACTTGCTAACTCAAGAGTGATTAAACTTTGGCGTGATACTGACCACAAGATTACCTTTTGTTATAATGAAGCTAAGGATAACGCAAAGTTTATTCAGGCAATGGAGAAATGCTGCCATTCTTTATATCTAGACGATCCAGTCAAAATTAAAGACTCCATTTTGAGTTTGTTGCAAACTGTCCGCTTGATACACAGTGTTTCGCAATTTTACAATACGTCAGAAAGGATATCCTCCTTGATGGTTAAGGTAAAGTACGCTTCTTTTTGGTAAGACTAGAAATAGTTTAGACAATGTTTTTATGTAGGTGAACCCTGAGGCTGTGAGACTGAAATGTAGAGTAAAAAAAAGTTCTCCCCGGCGGGGAATCGAACCCCGGCCTCCCGCGTGACAGGCGGGCATACTAACCACTATACTACCGAGGAATGTGATTACTGTTTTGTAAAGAAGCTTCTGATACAGGAAAAATCGATATTGTCATGCGCGTTGTGGTGCTTTTACGATGACTCCATTCCAAATTCTAAAAGATTCTTAACCAAAACGAATACTAACGTGATTAATAGTAATTTATTACAATAAATAGAATTAATAAGTAATTGAAAATTGTAGATTGTAAAAACATAGGAAGTTAATAATGAATTAAAATTATTAAAAAGATATACTATCAGACAGTAACACTTTACAAATGTTATTACAAATATTTTTGTTGACTTATGGTTAAATAAACTAAAACTAAAATAAACTTATTTTATTATAAAATGACTTTTAAAATTTTGTCATATTTACGATAAAATATTTAATTAGCCGTAATAAACATCACATAATCAACATCTACGTATGCTCTACGGCTACTACGGTCGCCGTTCTACGAATGTGCTACGTAGTTAGATGTATTGTAACCTCGTAGTTCTTTCGTAGATGTCGACTGTCGTAGCCGAAGTGTAACATAGTGCATACGTAGATGATTTTGTAGACGTACATTAATTGTAGCTAAATGCAGCAGATGATTGTCATATGGTGGTCTTTTCTTTAATTTTTTGCTCTTTGCACTTTCACCCAAAGCAAGTAATATTTTTTTTTATTAATGAAATTATTTTTTAATTTTAAATAGATCACTCGTGGGGACGAGATATTTTATTTTTAATAACTATTTTAAGCATCAATGAAAAATTGTATACATATAAGTCAGTTTCCGGTTTTTATATTTTACTTCTGTCAAAAAAATCCCGTTTGTTTATAAATTAACTAGTAAAGTAACAAAATAAAAAAAAAAGCAAAATATATAACCTCCTCGGCGGGGAATCGAACCCCGGTCTCCCGCGTGACAGGCGGGCATACTAACCACTATACTACCGAGGATTGTGATTAATGTTTTGTAAAGATGCTTCTGATGCAGAAAAAATCGATAATAAATGACATGCGCGTTGCCTACATTTTCATCAAATTTATTTGTTGGTTCAATAACTGCCTTTGTTTCTCATCATTTTCAGCCTTGTAAAGTGATACCGTTACAGAAACGTGGCATGACACCTATCGTTAAGTTTATACAAACACACATGACAAGCAAACATTACCCTCCACGTTTTAATTATATTCTTGTAAATTAAGATCGTAAATTTAGAATATATCTTATTTCATGCAATTACATTTTAAATTTATTTTATTACATACAATTATGTATACATACTTGCCTTTGTTACTATTCATTAGCTGCTTATGAAGCAGTTTTCTTTTTAGCATGTCAGCTTATAAAAGAAGTGTGATTTTGTAAAAAAACGTGTGAAAGACGAGAGCTTATTGATAAAATTCACGGAAACGATATGTTATAGCCCACGAGTTCCTTCCAAAAATTTCCAAACCACTTCTCTTTTTATCTTTTAGTTATAAGCTTTAAAATATATTGAAAGTTATTTTTAAATATTCTTTAAGAGACAAACTATTAGAATAGGACTTTTTTCAAGTGTGTTTTTGTTATTATTTATGTTTTTCTGTATTCTAACTTACAGATAACAAACCAAATGATAGAAACATGTAAGCAATACATCACTTGCCGTTTTAAAGAAACAATCTGGTCTCAAGAGCGTCACGTAGTACGAGAGAAATTAATGCATTGTATAAATCTCAACAAGACATATAGAGAGACCTACATTTACGTGAAAAACCAGTGTTTTTTACCAAATACAGAACAATTTAGCTTTTCAGAAAATTATGTGTTTGGAAAATTCGACACTTTCTGCAAAAGATTAAACAAAATTATTTCTATGTTTGACATGATGGATGATTATAACCACTTATTTGAAAAAAGAATGGAGGGGTTGTTGCTGGGTGAAGGTATTAAAAATTATATAATTAATTTTTGTTTTTGTATGGTTTGTTGTGCTTTTGGAATTTTTACCCTTGTTTATTTGATACACAAATATCAGACTGTAATAATTTTATGTAAGAATATCAGCTATCGGAGAAACATGTTATAGACTATCATAATTTTACCTGCTTTATATTTCGTAAATTACCTTCTGGATAAATTAACTTATTATAATCGTAACATAAATTTTTAAATAGTTTTGTGTATTTAGTACTGCCTTTTCTGTTTATAAATCTCGCAACCGTTTTAATTTTTTAAAAGACTTGGAAGAGGCTATGCTCACTTTCGAGGATGCTAAAATAGCTGTAACCACCTGTCAATACGACTACTTAGATTATCGTAATAACGACTTTGACAAAGATTATCAAATATTTGAAGCGAAGACGAATTCTCTACGTGAATCAATTGGCAATACAATTGAAGTTAATTTCTCATGTGTTTGGGAAACTCCTCAAGGAATCAAGTTTTTAACCAGATTTGAAAAGGTACAGTTAATAATGTTATTTAATTCAGTGTTAATATTTATTACAATACGGTTTTGGTATATATTACCAAATAAATTACTGCTATATTTAATCATGTATATTTGGTAATGTATCTCGTAGCCTAGCGGGCTGGTGTGGGGATCCACCACTCACCACGTTTAAGCCACGGAGGTAAAGGAGTCCATCCACCCCGTAGCTTAGACCAAACGAATACCAAAGAAAAAGGAGGTTGATTAAACGCAACACCAATACCTCATTAATTCCAAGACTCTACCTTGATTGCCGAGGACGGGATGATTGACCCCACTTTTTCCAACCAATGGCTGTACCCGGCACCCTCCTTGGACGCACCCCGAATGAGCTCACTAAGCTTACTCCACAAAAGACAAAGCCACGGTTACTGGGCCCTTCCACTGCCATCCCAAATCCATCCCAATTGGACGGATCATCTAAATTACGTAGCCAAAAAAAATTCCAAAGTAATTGCCAAATGAACTTCATTTGGTAAAGAAGTTAATATTTATTCATGACTATATAGGCCTTTTAGTAATTGCAGTATTTGCAAAATCTTGTATATCAATCATAACAAGTTGATCAAATGACACAAATTTTCCACCATGTTATTAACACCAAAGGATTTTCTACAATTTTTTATTAATTCTTAACCACTCATTTCGTGTGTAAACCTGACATTCTTTTTTTGATTTCTACTTATGAATGAGAATTTTCAAAAACATGAAATTTCTCTTTCCCATTTCTGTTTATCACTTTATTTTATTTTAATTTTTGTGGACTATTGAAACAGTTACTGTTTCTAAATTTTTATTGAAACAATTTTAATAATGAAGTTCCTCTATTGTTAAGGTTATTTTATTTAATTTATTCCAAATTCAAATTACAAGTACCTAAAATTTTTGGTAGGGGTGTCATTCGAAATAAAAGTTAATCTTTACTCGTAATTTTTCTCTTCAACAATATTTCGTTTCGCAGGTCAGTCAGAAAATCTTAATCACAAAATTAAGTGAAAAATATGACAGAGTGTTGAAGTACAGTGAAAAGGAAGTTGACAAAATAATGAAGATGTTTAAGCGGCAAAAGGATGATCCGCCGTTGCCCCGAAATTATTCCCCAGTTGCAGGTGAATAAAATTTTATATAACACGATAATAATAAAAAATAGCATAATTCGTATTTGTGTCAGCCTGTACAGTAATTTGGCTTTCGTTGAAAGAGGGAGAGACAAAACACTGTTACAGCAGCCAACATTAAATTAAGTAAAATTATTTTGAGACAGGAATTTGTCTCCTATCGCACACACTCCAAAGTATGGTAGACATCTTCGACCACACCGCATTCGGAACAATTTGGGGAATTTACTTTTCCCATCATAAATGTGAATTTATTCAATGGGATATGTCTTGAGCGCAATCTGAAATTCGTCGTAATGTCATGTCTTCCCACATCACTTCCATCAAACCACGCTCGATGCGCCGCTGAGTAGTTTTTTATTATGTGTATTTTTGGGTATTTCTAATTTTATGGAACAAAGTACTCTAACCAACCCAATATATTTTATTATTCAATATAGTTTTTGGGATTAACTATCTACCATAAATTTGGGACGTAGGTGAAAAAAAAGTTTAAATAAAATTTAATTTCATAACGACGCCCAGTCACATTTAATATTTTTTTTATTTTAAAACCTAAAATGGCATGCCCCGCTTATTTATGTACTAAGGTCGCATAAAATGGGCGAGATGCTTGATGTACAACATGACAGAGACAGTTGAAAGTGTATCCGCCCACCCCGTGCTTCGCGCGTTGCCTGCCGCCGCCGACATGATGCGGAAATACGCGGCCACTCGCACTCTGATTCACACCTACGAAGAGACTATGCGCGCCGTGTGGATGAACCAGAACGTAAGGAAATTCTTGCCCACATGGTAACCGTAGACTGGCCCTGTTTTTTTTTTAATTTTTCGAGGTTGTTTTTGTTTCTGTTTACATAAAAAATGTTTAATTTTATATTAAATTTAATTTTATGTAACGTAAATCGGTTAGAGTCGAATGCAGTCTCCTTGATACGTATTACTGTTTTTGTAACATACTACTTATTTTGCAAATATGCAGGTTTTCAAATGATGTTTTCCCATCATAAATGTGAATTTGTCAGAATTCTTTTAAAGGAAATGAAGGTTTATCAAAATTTTGACATTAATGCAACTTTTTTTTACACTGGTAGATACTTTCACTGGCAGATAAGGGTACTTTGTTTTGATAAATTTAATTTATTTTAAATTGCGCACAAAAGTCGCGGGAACAGCTAGTACTTAGATAATACAAAAGAGAACGTCAAGCCACCAATTCCTGAACACCACAACAAATTAAGTTGAAGTTATGCTGCTACATAAATTTGTCCGCTCTGCCTGAGAAGTACGATAAAAAGTAGGGTATTTACTAAAGTTTGCATTATAATATTATAGTATATTATATGGATTTAATTTTGTGGCATTTTATCCACTGGGGGAACTGGAGAACTGAATCACCGATCACAAGGGTGTTATGAAAATTTTACCACGAGGAAATTGTAATTAAAAAAAACATGATTTTTCTAAAGTTGTAAATCAATACTTTAACGGTTAAAGTCCTCATTCAAAAGGATGATTTCTTCTGGTTAATTAGTTGTGCTGACGCCAAAACTGTGCACATATGTATAAAATTTGTTTAAAAATTGCCCTTGTGTGAATTTCGACTTGTAACATCATCCATCCTAAAGGATAGAAAATAGCATACAATAAATAAAATAATATTAAATAAAATAAATTTTTATAGTACTAACAGAATGAATAGTTACGATAACACTTAATGGAAGTTCATAAAATATAGAAAGTAAAATTTGACATAAACGAGAAGAAAGACAACAAAAACATCTGTTCCTTTTCACTATAATTTGGCCATCTTTAAGTGAAGTCGATGTAACTTTCATTCCTCTTATTTAGGTAATATTGAGTGATTATGGATTCGCTGCCTAAATAAATAGTATATTTCATTACGAGTGCGGAAATCCTGTCATTGCAAAGAGTTCCGACAAGTGTCTACCCGAGCCGAGGCGCAGCCGAAGGTGAAGGTAGAAGTCGGAACTTGCAATATCAATTCTGCACGTGTACTGAACAACTATTTTTAATACAGTTGCGAAAAAATTAAGCAATTTCATAGAATCATACGAATGAACTAATCATTTATTTCTTATAAAAGTTATAATTCACATATACATTGAATTATTACAGTTTATAATACTAACTAGGGAAGTTTTAGGTTGCATATTTACTGTTTGAGACAAACTATTATTAATTTCGTATGTTTGTTCATGTATATTTGTCAAAGGTGTTATACACAATACAAATGGAAATGGCGCCAACCGTAAAAGAATATGAGCAGATAATTTTTTTTGTTTCCTTCACCCATTCTAGGTAGACAAAGGGAACTATGCCCATACAGCCAAGTATTTACTAGATTTTTTTGATATGAAATGAAAATGAAATTAAATGAGATGAAATTAAATGAAACCTAGCCTAACTCATTGAATCAAATTATTAAATCTAATATTGAAACAAATTAGTAGCTTCTTTTTAGAAATGCATGAATCATAAAAACTTCTATGAATTTTTTTTGTAAAAAATTCATGGTTTGTTTTTTCTTTTTAATAGACATTATTTTGACAGTTGGGAAAGAGAACGCACGAGTTCGGAAAAGGTAAAGAAAAAGCTCGTGTGTGCCTACATCCCGAAAGCTATACGTCCCTGTAATCTTTTTGAGCAACTGTATTAAAAAAATATTTTAGTAACAATGAAATCTATTCCTCCATAATTTTACATTAAAATTTAAGATTATTTACGTAAAAATTCATTCAAAAAGGTTTTAAAGTTCTTCTGTATGTGATTAAATTACTTTCTCAGTCTTTTTTACAATATGCTTTGCAAAAAAAGTTTTCCGATAGACCTCACGATAAAATGTACTAGGAGTACATAGAATAGAAAAGTTGGGTGGCGGTGGGTTGACGAACAGAAAGAGATAGTAACAATCATGCCATACTTTTTCACCATACAGGGCGTGTCCATATTTACGATGCCCGTGATGTGCCACGGTGTCGCTGCAATATATATCGATATTCTTATGCATTAAAATTTTTTTTTAATTAATTTGTCTTATTTACATTAAAACTTTATATTAAACAAAACATAAATCGTGATAGGCTTAAACCTTTGCTGCCTTGAAAATTGTGTATTTTTAACTTATCAATGTGTTTAAAATATTGCACAAACAAATCTTGTACAGGTAAAAAATTGAAGTTTGGTTAGTACAAAGGTTTCAAAGTTTAACCAACTTTACTTTTAATAATGAAATACCATGAAGTAGATGGCTGAAAATAGTGAAACATAGTTGAAGCAAATGTCTTAAAACTAAAACATTTCTGGAAGCACTTACTAGGAGCCCATAAACTGTAGGCGGTGACCTAAACCTCAGAAAGAGATAGATATAGCAATGTCAGTTGCTCTTTAAGAGGTGTCCTTTTTCCTCCACCGCTAGTGATGTACCACATGTTATTTGGATTATTATACCTGAAAACAAAATGTGAATTTTAAGTTTCATCTAGAATGCGAAGGCTAAGAATAAAAATATAAATTAATCCAAAAATCATTTTAGGTTTCAATCAAAACATTTTAGCTAGGATTTTCCATATTATATATATTAATCAATGCTGGTAAAAAGTTAATATATGATACGTGTTTACTTTTAAGTTATGGGACGTCGACGATTGTTTGAACAATACACTTTTGAAAATCGACGAGTCTGGGCGTATTACAGTGAACTTAGATCACACTATCAAGCTTTTGATCAGGGAATCTGATTGTCTTGTAAAAATGGGCATAGATCTGCCGATTGTGTGTCACTCGTTGTACGCTAAAAAAAATTTCTTCACGCATCTTAACGATTCTTTGCAGGTGGGTTTTAGTTTATGAATTATTTATGTTTACATATATACATTAATATGATTGTTTCTAAAGAATCTTGGTAACTTTCGCAAAATGCTAGGAGCTTAAACTACGAACTTTAACTTCAACTTTACATCAAACATTGATCGGCATTGACTTGTTAATAAAATCGATAATCATCTAATCAATTGTGAGTTCATGAGTTCAAGAACGTTGCCTGGAAGAAAATACTCTTAGTAATAAGGCCGCCCATTGTGTAATTTACAAGCGTAACCTAGGAACCTATAGATTAACTTAGTGCGATTAGGTCCAATTTAAAAAGAATTAAACCAAATAACCGACAACAATTTTGCACGTTCTTCTTTTACGCTAGCAGTGCAATATTGAAATTCAAACTATTTATTGACCAACAGTTTCTATTAGAAGACTTCCTGTCTACTGTACGCCGTGTGAAATTGGAAGTACGGCCACTATTTTTACCTCAAGTTGTGCGACTTTCGTCTCTGTTGCTTCCCGGATTAAGGACGGTAACTTGGACCAGCGAGGATTGGAAGGAATTTATTGACCGCGCCAATTCGGCCATCAAGAGCTTCGACGTGCTGGTGACGAGAGTGCACGATATATATACGAACAGAATTATATATGTGCTATCCGGTATGCAGGATGTTTCATTAGTGAATCTACCTGGTTAGTAATTTCTATTTACTATAAACTTCCTTGGAAAGAAAGAATTTTCGAGGAAGGTATTATTAGATATGATATTACGTCAATTGGTTACGCTTCTTGTCAATTAAATGTGACAATTTTGTTGTACATTTTTGTAAAAATTTGGTGACAGTTACTAAGCTATTGGCTTCAGCTTCTGGGTTGTGGGGTCGATTCCTACAAAGGACAAATATTAGAGTGAACTACATTGTTCAGGATCTGGGTGGGTTTCCAAGGAGGATTGATGTCAGGCAGGTAGTCGTTAGGTAAAAAATCTAGCCAATACCATTAAGAACATGATTCCCATGTATTACGGACACCACCTTAGTGGGATAATAGATTCTTGTAAAAAATTCGAATAACTTTAAAAGTCTTTGTAAAAAGCCTACTGCTAAAGATAATGGCATCTATTTCCCCATTACCATGTAATATAATAACAGAATAAAAATGCTGAGTGAGTACTATACTGTCATTAGTATGAAAGCACGAGTTTAATAAACTTTTAGCAAATCTACATACATTTCTTTTTTTCGTAAAACAGGCTTGCTACCCGGCATAGTGTCCGTAGCGCCATAGTTTGTGACGAAATTAAAAGTTTGAAAATACTTAAAACATGTCTGCAAGAAGCGTACTATACACATGTGTATCTCTGTGCATGTGTGTTATTGTGCTTTTGGGCGATTAAATGAACCAAAATAACTTTAGTTTAACTGTATACGAGTACTTTAATGTCTGAACTATCTCTCTCAGTCAGTTTTAGATGTTTTTTATATCTCCTAGCAACGACATCTGTTCTGTTTCTTCTTTTCTATATAGGATATCACGTTCATACGAATGAAATAAATAATGAATAAATAAAAAAAGAAACTTGTTTATATTAATTAAGCACCGACGATATATAACGTGGTAGGATAGGTAGGAGTTTTCGTTGTTACACGAATGTGTAGGTCACCTAATTACCACGACCTCATAAAAGAGAAAGAAGTATTACACTTCTGCGTTTCGTCTGGTGAGTGAGGTAGCCGGGGCCCACTTTATTTCTATAGGTGGTAACGCATTTGCAACCCTACGGGTGTTGCAAATGTCCATGGGCGGCGGTTATTATTTAACATCAGGTAAGCCGCCAGCTCGTTTGCCACTTTTTCACATAAAAAATACTTTTCAACCTAATTTTTCAATTGATCCATATACTTAGCTTTTTTTTTTTTCATTTTGTTTCCTTTTTCCCCATCCACCGATATTTTT